GAGGAAACGTGACACTATCCATCCTTCGGGTTGCTTTGAAACAATTAAATCAATCTCTATAAAATGAATTAATTGTTCCAATGATCACTGAACTTAGGTTCATATTTTCGATTGCTCACTGAAATTTAAAATATCGAGTTTTGTCACTAGTTTTGGAAAATATTGTACGTTATTCATTAGCATAAATGTTGAACTTTGAAAAAGTCAAGTTTACAGTGAATAATATAAGAACGTATAACATTTTTTAAAGTTCAATGATCAAAACTCAATATTTTAAACTTCAGTTAATAAAAATCATGAGCCTAAATTTAGCGACCATTGGTACAATTATCTGATGCAAAACCCCACACACACAACACACACACACATATATGGGAAAATTGCAGCAACGGTCCCTAACATTTTCATTTTTTGCAGAAGTTGACCAAGAAAATTCCTTAAACTATCTGTTACTGTGATGATTCTATTTGATGTTGATACCTTTTTGGACGGTACTTTTGGACAATATTTTGCATGATTTTATTGGATGTTGATTCGCTAATTTTCCCGATCAACTAACCGTGTTTTGGACGATTTTTTCGTCCAAATAGACATCAAGTGCATATTTTTGAAAGGTCAGGAAAGTATGATAATTTTCTGATAATTCCCTATTGACAACATATCTAAATAATAGATATTTATGTAACAATTTCTGTTATGAGATTTACATATACTCATCTATTTTGTTATAATAGAAATTGAGAAGGATTTTTTGATTGATCCCAATATCATGCTAAGAATAGCTAAGATTTCCAGAAGAAGATGCCATTCGTTTGATAAGAAATAAAAAGGAATATCAAAGATTCGAGTGGCTGAAGCTGAAGTAGTTACTTTCAAAGTAACAGAAAGAAAAACAACGACTGGAGTGGAAGAGTCAGAGTCAAAAAGAGGATTCCTCACTTCTTTCTCTCGTTTAAAATCGTGCATGAGACTTTCATCTCACACGGCTCCTAAGTGAAAAAAAAAAAGAAGAACTCATTTTCGCTGGCACAAAAATGAAGGTTGAGGTAAATTCTACAAAAAATGAAAATATTAGGGACCGCTGCTGCAATTTTCCCTATATTTTATGAATAAGTCTTCACGTACAGAAGACTTTCACAGGCACCTTACCGAATTTCAAATTTGCTGACGTGGCAAGTGAAAAAAAGGGGAAAAAGCGAAACAAAACGAGGGAAACTACACTTTAGTCTCACATTTCCCTCCACCAAATCGACGCCCTATCAGTCGCCCGTTCTATAGCCTATCGGCGTGGACCAAAATTATTGTCGTCCGTTCTCCATCTCCGACGCAGATTTGAAAATTTGAAAACATCAATAAATTTATCCATAAAAATCCTCCACCGTGTCGGCGTGGACTGAAGCTCGGTTGTTCTCCTCCGTTCTCCATCTCCGAACAATGTTTTCCCGCAACATGGATGACGTTGACTGAAGTTGTTTCTTTGTTTTCCCCCATCATTGACTGTGTCGACTGAAGCTTCTCCTTTGCCCGGTCCGTTCTCCATCTTCGACCAATCAATCGACGATAGCTTTGAGATATGGAGTTGGATGGCAGAACGGGGAAATGTATATTCATCATTTTACTAAAGCTTTGTCAATTTCTTTTGCCTCCATTTCAATAGAAACTGATGATACTTCCAGTCCACTTGTTCGTTCTCCAACAATGATAGTTTTTATGCGAAAATTTTATGGTTCCTAACTTCTGGCTTCAACTGCACTTAGCCCTTAATTTTTTCCTTTAGAGTATTTGCTCAAATTATAGTATGAGAAAGAACTAAATCAAATATAGAGGCAAGCGATTTTGTTGGGCAGTTGAAATTTGAAATTTTGTGTTTGTGAAGATAGATAGCATAAAATGGCAGGGAAGATGCTATAACTAAATAGTAAAAAATTTGTATTTGTGAAGATAACATCTATTATGTGAAGTGCATTTTGGGAAGATACAATTTTTGTCGTGTTTGTAGTTAAAGAACAAATTATGTACTGTTCGACAGTTCAAAGTTCAGAATATAAACTAATTCATTTAGTTTTGGCGATTATGCGTTAATATCTCTGTGATGCATATGTTATTGCATGACTAGAATCTATGAAAGAGGAGAATGATCAGTTATTGGTTGAAATTGAGAATGACAATGTCACGATCAATGCATACGTAGGTGAAAATGATAAGTTCGGAGGAGATGGTGTGAGTGTGCCCGAGGTGGGTATGATGTTCGATGGTGAGAAATAAGTGTTTGAGTTCTATAACAAATATGCTTATGAAGTGGGTTTCCAGTTAGGAAACGAAATTCAAAAAAGGGCATGATGGTGTTGTGAGATATGCAACGTTTACTTGTAGTCGTGAGGGCAGAAGAAGTTATGGTACAAGCAATTCTTTGAAGCAACAACCAACAAGTCAAACCGATTGTAAAGCAAGAATTTCGGCATCTTTATTGAGTAATGGAAAATGGAGAGTCAATACAACCTACTTGGAGCACAATCATAAAACGAGCCCTTCGAAGTCTAGGTTGCATCGATGCAACCAAGAGCTGACTGCAAATGTCAAAAGAAAGCTCGAAGTAAATGACATGGTAGGAATTCCTTTGCACAAAACCTACAACTCCACAGTAGTGGAAGCATGTGGTTATGATTCTATGACTCTCATTGAGAAAGATTGTCGAAATTATATTGAACAAGTGCGACGGTTAAGACTCGGAGATGGAGATGCCATCGCAATACAAGCTTATTTTGCGACTACGCAAGCACGGTGCTCGGGATTTTATTTCAGTATGGATTTAGACTAGGAGTCTTGGCTTAAGAATGTGTTTTGGGCAGACAATAGGTGTCGGCAAGCTTACAAAGAGTTCGGTGATGTTGTCATCTTTGATACGACATACCTGACAAATAAATATGACATGTCGTTTGCTCCATTTGTTGGCGTCAATCATCACGGGCAATCAATACTACTTGGTTGTGGCTTGATAGCTAATGAGGGCACTGGTACATTTGTCTTGTTATTCCGGACATGGTTGCAGTGCATGCATGGTCAAGCACCAAAAGGAATAATTACTGATCAGGACAGGGCTATGCAGAATGCGATTCAGATTGTATTTTCACATACGACGCATAGGTGGTGTCTCTGGCATATCTTGAAGAAGTTCCCTGAGAAGTTTGGCTATCATGTTGATAAGGCATCGATCTTTTCCACTATACATGGATTAGTGTATGATTCACAGACCGTTGAAGAGTTTGAAGAAGGGTAGAGAGGGATGATTGATAGGTACAACTTGTATGACAGTGATTGGTTGTCTGGATTGTTTGAAAATAGATGTCGTTAGGTTCCATGTTTTTTGAAAACCACATTTTAGGTCGAAATGTCGACAACGCAACGAAGTGAGAGCATGAATGCATTTTTCGATGGATACATGCATTCAAAGACCTCATCGAAACAATTTGTCGAACAATACGAAAGAGCACTACGGAGCAAGGTTGAGAAAGAGTTTCAGACTGACTTCAAGTCTTATGCGCAAATGGTACCGTATGTCACGAATTATGATATGGACACTCAAATTCAAAAGGTGTACACCATATCAAAGTTCAGAGAGGTTCAGGACGAGTTCATCGGGAAGGTTTACTGTGACATCATATCTATCTCGGAGAGATGTTCAGGGACGATTTACAAGGTTCTGGAGGATGTCCTACTATATGGAGCGCATCGGACGAAGAGGACCTTTTCCATCTCATTTATGAGGGAGACATGTGACATTGTTTGTAGTTGTCACTTATTTGAGTTCCGAGGGATAGTTTTGTAGGCATACAGTCACTGTTTTGATTCGTAATGATGTCAAGTTCTTGCCGGACAAGTTTATTCTACGAAGATGGAGGAGGGATGTTAGTAGGGCACACACGAGGGTAGCAATGTACTACGATGGGTTGGTCAGTTCTCCGGCACAGTTGAGGTACGATGATATATGTCGGGCATTTTCGGAGGTGGCTGACCTTGCTGCGAATGATAAAGAGCGGAGTTCTGCAGTAATGGATTGGATAAAACTTCAAGCGAAGGAGCTGAAGTTGAGTTGTGGTAGTCATCCTAGTCATGTCATCTCTTGCGGGATGGATTCTCAGAATCGTTCCGACGTCAATGTACTAGATCCAGTATCATCAAAATGAAAGGGTGTGCCAAGGAAACTTCGACGAAAAGGACCGTTGGAGTTAACGTCAAAGAAAGCAAATGTATTATATTTTATTTCATTACTATTTTCAACTGAGTTTCAATCGGAGTTCTAATATTAATTTTCATGTATATATAGGCAACTTCGACGTCAACAAAAGGCGAGAGGCCGACAGGTTGACATAGTACTGCGGAAGAAGTTGTATAAGATGTTGACGCCTCTCAACAGTTTTCATCCTTGACACCGTTCGCATGTTCGCAATCCTTTTTGGTATGAACTTTTCTAGACCGTTGGGTTCATATTTTCAATTCATTCATTTCATTTGCTCGGAGCCTTATTTGGGGTGTTGTGTAATGTAGGGTGATAGTGGCTGCCAACAAGAGTTACAATGAACAGCTTGTGGATTTCACATTTTAGCATTCTAGCACTTGAACTTTTGATTTCATTATGGGCTGTTTGAATCTTTTGTAAAGGCTGATGACTTTAGGCGCTATGGTTTCACTGATTTGTGTATTGCCACCATCCTTAATATCTTCATCCCTATTAAAGACTAGCTTTGATTTTATTCTGGCTGATTTTTGTCTCTTTTTTCTGCTTGTGTCCAGTTGGCACAAAGTAAATGAAATCTTTGCTTGCCAAGATAGAGAAATTTACCATTTATTTATTAGATGTACTATTGTTATATGAAATTTTAACACGTGTATTACTTGCACTTTACTTTGTTGGTGTTGGAGAAGATAGCAGCCTCTTTATAAATATTATTAAGGATCTCACTAGAATTAAGCACGCTGGAAGATGAATTCATTACAACATGTAATTAAGCAAGCTCAAATTCTTGTGACAAAAATGGCAAATTGTTGTCCATTTTCTCATACATGATGTAAGGAATTGCACCTGACACTGTATACTTCAAGTGATAGTAAATGAACATGAATTCATTACAACATGTAATTAAGCAAGCTCAAATTCTTGTGACAAAAAGGCAGTTCAAATTCTCATTATAGCACAATGATGTAAACAGTTGCCAAGTACCATCGTTCGATAGCTAATACAAAATACAACACGAACACAATACAAATACAAATACAAAACGATACCATTGTTCTATAGCTAATACAAATACAACTTGTTCTACAACTAACTATTAAGCATGCCGTGCCGGGCCCTTTCCTTTCCCACACTCTTCCGCGTGTCCTGTTTCATTATGAAATGTCAAGGTCATTGAAATCTCGACGCCTCGTTTCTTGGCTATTACAGCAAGAGAGTTAATCATGCTTGGCAAGTCTTCGATTTCCTTGTTGGCCACAACATTCACCGTTTCATTAACGGTACTTGATTTACCACTTGTTCCTTCATTTTGAACCCAGTCAAAGTAGCCACAGTTGTCACAACAAGTTTTGAATAATCACCCCTGGTTATCGGTGTCCTTTGCAACCTCAAAACATTTTTGAATTCCACGTGAACACCACGGGCATCGAATTTTTATCGGGCAATCCGTGAAGTAATGCGTTGTGCTTCTACAACTGTAACAAACACCAAATTTTGGCGCTCTCATCCTGAGATTGAGAACAAACTCATTATAGACACAAAATGAAAAAATTACGCACGAAACTGCACCTCAATTCTAAGATTGACAAGAAACAAGTTACAAACAGAACTGCACATCAAACTCAATACCTTGCAGACTCATTACATTACAAACACAACAAACTCAAACAATATTCCATCATTACATTACATTACAAACCAATCAAAAGGATGACAACTCTTCCACCATTACACATCAACGGACACGAACTCAAACAATATTCCACCATTACATGGCCACTGATGCCAACTTGTGTAAACTAAAACTGAATTAATTACTAAAGATCCAAAGTCATAAAAGAACAACCTTGTTCGAATATTCCACCATCACAGAAATGCACACAAACAAATTTTAACTCTATGTGAAACAAATTAAGACAAGCCAAAAAATTTGTAATCTACAATGGAAACCCAAACCATGATTACAGCAGTGAAATCTAGGTTCGTTAAAGAACAACATTGTTCGAATAAAAGGCAGTGAAATGGTAGCTCAAACGGGGATTACGGTAAAAAAGGGTAAAAAAAAACAGAAAAATGTTACCTTGTTCACAACAATGTTGGGGTAAATCTAGATAAAATCGTTCTTCATTGTTACGTCGCCGTTCGTTCAAATTTCTCGTCGGAGATCTTTTCTACAGTGTTTGTACGAAGCAATCACAGGCGGAGAACTGAAATGGTGGGAGTTCGACTAAGAAAATGGTCACGGGAGAGTCGAAGAACGGGCCGCCGTCCGAGCGTCTACTGGATGTGCCGGTCGGCGAGGTAAATAGATTCAAATCGCCACTAGGGTTTCGAAGGCGAGAAACAGAGAGTTGGAAATAAAATCGTCTTTCACACGTTTTTTACC